GGGACGTATTTTTAAGTCATGCGTCAGAGAAAGATAACCTGTTTAATGTGTTTTCGAGCATTTTCTTGTCGATACACACATCATTTTTTGTGGAAAAATTCCTCATTCTTATGATTGGTCGGCTGTAGGTCACTCGTGCGTTTGCACTCCTGAGACGCTATTGTTGAACTTTGCCGAAGGCAGATCAGAAATGATGATCAGCAAAGATATTTGGTAACAAAATAACCACAAAAAAAAACTATTACTTAGCAACTATTGTTCAGAAGAAAATGGATTGGGTATTAGACTGAGAAGACCTATTGGGTGATATCGTTTGCTTTGCCCTCGAGTGGAAGCCAAACAGGAAACGTCAAGTTGAATATGTGTTCTAGGGTGACACGTAGGAGATAGTATGAGAAGAAATTAAGGGATTATGGAAATCGGGTGAGTCAGCTGAAGACCACTGCTAAGACAAGGTGAAATGACGATGTTCTGCTCAAGCCATAGGTTCCACTCCAAATCCATGGTTATCATAAAAGTGATAGTCTAACCTAACCTCTTCGCCAGGCATTACTCTGAAAGGAATGTCAGCACGAGTTCAAGATGAAAAGCCAACCCCATAAACTTCACTATGAGTAAATACGGCATATGTTTTAACTTATGATCTTCTCAAAGATTTTGGAAACTACTACTGTTGCTGAACTTCATCCGTATGTTTTTAGTCTCTAATCCTACCTGTGGGGTGGAGAATTATATCCAGTAAAGCCTTCAGTATTTTCGTTTTTCCACTATTGCGGTATATACATATATATATATATATATATATACCTCCTTCATGACCTGGATCCTCTCGAATTTCACTGAGCCGTTTGACTTTTTTTTCCTTCCTTTTTCCCGGTGGAAAATAGGGCACCTTCAAGCTAGTGGCTTGAAGTTTCTATAGCAGTGGTGTTTATCTTTACAGGTTGCGGTTGCCAGCCAGCCTCATGCTCAACCTTCCCTCTTTGCCAGTCTTATTACTGGATAAGTGTGGTAAAGGAGTGCGTCGGTGGCCAGGGGTCGAACCCCGGGCTATGTGCATGGTCGTCGAGTGTCCCAACCGTTGTGCCACCGACGCACCGAGCCGTTTGATAAATCAGTACTATTAGCTCCAATATCGTTTGATTCGTTTGATTCGTTTGATTTACAGCTTGATTCCACACTGTATTTTCGGTACAAGTATGGAATTTTCAGCATGGATATCGGTAGCCCAAATTCGCAGGCCGACCATAGACATCAGGTGTGCGTCGGTGCGGGCTCGAACCCCGGACAATGTGCATGGTCGTCGAGAGTCCTAACCACTGTGCCACCGACGCACATCTGCATTTAATCCCGCTCTCTTCAGTCCTGTATAGCTGGCTCCACGATTACCAATAAGCGGTCAACTCCTCTTCACATGGTCTTCCCCATGTCAACCTGGGACCCATGTTTAACGCTTAGTTTCTTATTCGGGTTTCACTGAAGCACAGTAATGGCACATGTTGTCACCCAACAGTCTCCTCAGAGTATGCCTGATCTACCTCTATTTTCTTCGGCATGCTTCCTGGGTAACAGGTGCCTGATTAGTTCGTTCCTATTCGATCTTCAGTATGGAGCAAAGGCAGCTATTGATAAGATAAGTGCATCGGTAGCACAGTGGTTAGGACTCTCGCTGAACATGCACATGGTCCGAGGTTCGATCTCCTGCCGACGCACATAAGATATCTGTGGTAGGCCTGCGAAATTTGGGCTACCGATATCACATTGAAATCACACTGAAAACTCCATACTTATACCAAAAATACAGTGTGGAATCAAGCTGTAAATCAAAAAATAATTTTAAAGAAATAAGATTCTGCACTGGCCTGTTTACAAAATGCTTCTCGCGACACGTCAAGTTTCTTGCTGATGAAGAGTCAGCACTGACTTGACACTGGTATTCAAAAGACGAACTTCGTTCCCTATGCTGAATACGGAAGATTTCTAAACCGATTTTAGATTGATGAAGGTGTCTCTTCTATTTGACAACTTCATCCGTTCCGACTGCCTGCAGTTGAAACAATGCTGGCTGTTTAGATAAGTGAAGGCAGTAGCCTGTGTCAAACTTATTCCGTTGATGGTGACAGGTGCTTGTTGATGTTGTTCTCGTTGGTTATATATATATATATATATATATATATATTCGTCACATCCATCTTTTCTGTGTTCACTTAAAGTTCTGCGTTCACTCTGCAAATCTCCTTGGTCAACTCGTCGGTTATCGCCTTTAAAGTCTTCCAATTTATTTCAAACTAGACTTAAATCGTACACAAAGTCCAGATCCCTTCCCTGGAGTCCTTCTGTAGATCCAACGTACCACTGTCTTCTCGCATAGTTGCAGTTCACCACAATTAGTAATATAATCATCGGTAACAGTGGGTAGCCTTGTCTTACGCCTTCCTGGCTTCACTACAAAGGCTTCGCTGAGTGTCCCCTTGAAAGTTGTATAAACTGAAGTCTTTTGGGTTTATATATGAATCTTTTGCAGGCCATACACTGCAATGAACGTTAGTGAAGACGATAAACGCTTTTTATTACATTTAAAAAAATGAGCTGACATTGGTTACAGAACCAGTGAAAAACCTGGGAGTACTGGACAGCTGTTTCGTCCTAGTTTGGGACTCTTCAGCAGTACGTACCCACCAAGGTTCGAACCCAGCAACTTCTGGTTACAAGGCGAGCTCGTAGACCATTGAGCAGCCACTGGGACCCGATCCAATGGCCCAGTGAATTGTATTCACCACATGATAAAATCCTGTAACCAATCAACCAAATCCCTACAAACCAACACTTAAATATCGATGAGATGCTCACTAGCGACTGGTCCTATTCAGGTAGGTAGTTACCTGGGGTTCTTGTGAGACGTCGTGACCAGTAGGTGCAACAGGTCGGGTGTCAGGACAAATACTCGCCGAAGACATTGACTAGGAGTCGCGCTATGTCGTGAATCGGTAGAAGTTAGAATTCATGGGCTGGTCATTGGATTGGGACCCAGTGGCTTAATGGTCGACGAGCTGATTGGCCTTTTAACCAGAAGGTCGTGGGTTCAAACATTGGTGGTGAGTGCGTACTGGTGAATAGTTCCAAGCCCGGCTGACGAAACAGCTAGCTTTCCAGTACTCCTCGCAGGTTTTCAAATGGATCTCTAACCACCCAATGTCAGCTCATGATGAAATCCTGTAACCAACCAATCAAATGCCTACAAACCAACACTTAAATAAAAAAATGCATTGACTACGTAAGCAATGTAAGAGTGATGATGTATAAAAATATATGTATATATATATATACACCACAGCAACGTCAGAAGGTAAGCTTGTTTTCCTGACACCACTAGTGGTTTGTGTACGACAACGATTCATTTTAATATTAACAAGTTATGCTGACTAATCTTTTCCCTCCACAAGAACCACTGTTTTACTTAGACAGAGAGGGAGGGAGACGAATTGGGGGTGTGGATGAGGCTGGGTGGGTGGATGGGTGTTTCGTAAGAGAAATGAAGTCAAACGAAACGAGATGATAACGATTCAAACAACTGTTAACATTTTGATGTATTGGTAGGATGGATAAAAATAAGCAAAACAAATTAAAATGTCAAAGGGATATGTGAAGAAGAAGAAAACAGTAAACAAATAAAAATGAAATGTTTTGAAGAGAAATATAGATACCAGGTGGTAACCTAGGCAACGGAAAACTGAAAATCTAAGGTATGCGACATATATATATATATCCGTCATCTTCAAATCCCTGTAAACATAATGACGTGAATTTTGAAAACATTTAAGCTGCTTTTTTTTCTTGAAATGATATAAGCTAAGCAACAATTTATATTTATTTTTATTCCTAACTATTTTGTGGGAGAATTTTTTTGCTTTTCGGTAAAGTTGTTGCACAAATCCAGCCTACATAATAAATAGACTTTATTAGGCAGCAGATTGACAGTCATGTGTCACGTTGATATCTGTCGACCACTGTTTACCCATACATAAAAAAAAATGTTCTTTAAATAAAAAAACAAAAGAAAAACACTTCTAAAGACAGAATCAACACTTTACGACGACTAAAAGAAACACGTCATCAACAGAAGTGAGAAACTGAAGTTTATCGACAATTTTAAGGAAAGTGAAAACCCTGTCCACTGTGAACAGTGACTGAGTGACTGACTACTGATACACGAAGGTAACTAACTGGCTAGCACTTATAATATTATACAGAATCCCACTGGGATAATATATTATTAGTCAGTATAAAAAAGGAATGAATTCAAGATTTATTACATGATCACTGAGGTTGGTGAACCACTAAAAACCTATAGGAGGTACTGGAGAGCTGTTTCGTCCTGGGATGGCGGGGCTCTTCACCAGTGAGCTCCCATGATCCTACTGGAAGTCGAATCCCTGCAAACTAGCAGTTGAAAACTAGTCAGTGTCCTGATTGGACTCAGGTTGACATGTTGGCTCACTGTTTGCATGCTTCGACGATATCTGGTCATGTCACTTGAAGTCAATTGGTGGATGGATGGATAGATGGTGACTAGCAGTGGAATACAGAATTTTGTGGATTTTGTCCTATATGGGAACGTTTGAAACTACGGGCACTGAGTTACAGTCTCTGTGGGAACATCAAAACTCACTGGGGGAAATGCAGGTACATACAGATGACGAGTCAGTCCAAAATAGGATGAAATGCGCCACTTGAATTCCACTACTAGACACTATCCACTAATTCACATCATTATAGTGTCCATGGTAAACTCTGGTCATGACTTTTGTAACTTTTTGTAACATAGTACCGGACTAGAACTCATAGCAGTTATATATATAGATTTTCAGCATAATATTACGCATACATGCTATTATTATTGCATAGCCTGATAACAAACTCATTTAAAAGAGACGTCTTCATTGAATTGCACGTTTTTTTATGGCGTCATAATGGAAATTAATAAATTTCTTGTGACTTACCATGGCACTTACACCAAGAATGAAATACACGTTATCTCTCTCTCTCTCTCTATGCTCGAGATGTCATGTAATTCACTGTGTTGAAGAGGATTGCTTACATTCACTTCTTCCCCTGTGTGTTACAACATATGAAACAAAGTATGACATAAACAGTATGAAATTAATCGGCAAGACCATATAATATTAACAATATGAATAGTAGTATAAATATGACTAGACAATCATTAAAAATGGCATGACTTATAGAAGAAAGTTTTAATTTCATGGACACGATATGATAAATAGTGGACAAATATACTTTGATTGGAGTAGGCATTTCATCATGAGGTGACATCTGTTAGAGAACCATTGGAAAATCTGAGGGGAGTACTGGACAGCCAGCTTTTTCGTCCTAGTTTGGGACCCTACTGCAGTACGCACCCAGCGGGATCCCAATGGCTTGTAACCATACGGTCCTGGGTTCGAACTCTGGTGGCGGGTGCGTACTGGTGAAGAGTCCAAAACTAGGACGAAACAGCTGGCTGTCCAGTACTCCCCGAAGATTTTCCAGTGGTTCTCTAATTGATGTCAGCTCATGATGAAATCCCTCCTCCGATCAAAATCAATACCCATTAAACCAATACTTGAAAACAAATATATTTGCTGAGTGATATTGAGAATCCATTTGACCTTTTGGCCGATTTCACGTTATACATCACAGAGCCGATGGAAAATCAAGGAGCACTGTATGACTGTCTGGTCCTCGTTTCGAACTACTCAGTGACACATACCCACGATCTCACCTGATATCGACTAAAGAGCCTTCAAGTTATGAGGCGGGACTGCTGACTGTTCAGACACTGTGACAATGACAGGAGAGTCCCGAAACCGGGATGTAACAGCCGACAAGTACCACGTGGTCGTCTAACTAATTCACACTAGTGGTCTAAAATAGAATTGTGTTATAGTTCTACCTGCATCACTTATTAGTATATCAGTAAGGCTAATGTTCTTGTATAAACACAGTTTCTATTCAACAGTATATTTTATCATAATAATGCTTTAATTTCGGGAGGTCGAGAAACAAATTCACTCATCAACCTGAAACAACCAATCTGGAAACCGATCTACGTCACTCAGCTAGCAACAACAACAAAATTCCGTCGGTCGGATTTTCAATACAAACAACGTCAAGTCAGTCAGTTCTTCTATACGGATCAGAAAGTTGGCGTGTTGGTGGTGGGGGTGTCACAAAGAATATTTCCACCAACAGCCTGTTGCAGACCTTTACTAACAATTGTCTTCGCTGGGTCTATACTGAAGATCAGATGGCCGGGGAGGGGGCCGGAAAGAATCACCAACAAGCACCAAACTATGGGAACAAACAAAACAAAACAAGAACAAAAGAATCGCCAACCAACAGCAAATATGCAGGAGAAAGGCGATTAAGATGGATTGAACACTCGCTCGCTGAGGAGGCCACCGCTGGTCAAACCAAAACATGGCTTCATCAGTCAATGAAATCCTCAACATTCAGCTCAAGCTAGCCGCGTCGAGAGATTCAGACTTCCTGCCTTGGGTCCTCAGGATGGCAGAAACCAATGAAGGCTCAATGCCAAGTAATCCTCAACGGGAAACTCACAGAATCCTTCGAAGTGAAGAGGGGCGTAAGACAAGGCTGCCTTATATCGTCAATGATTTTCTTGAATGCAGTAGATTCGATTATGCGACAAACAGCAGGCAACGGGGAAACAGGCATAAAATGGACACACCAAAAAATACTTGGAGGATCTGGACTTCGCCGATGTGATATATACGTCTGATTTCCCACAAACTGGAAGATATGCAAGTGAAAAGCAACAAGTTGGCTGAAGATGCCTGCAGAGAAGATAAGACTTCAGATGAACATGTAGAAAACAGAGGTGGTGATGAAGATTACTGGGCAACACCAACAGAAACAGCCACAGCAAAAACAGACAGCAGTCAGCCAGCATAAATGGAAGGAACCTGAAAGAAACAACCTCCTTCACCTACTTACCGACCTTCCTACCTGGGAAGCACTCTTTCAAATACAGGCCGACGGAACTGAAGAGGATATCAAAGCAGCGAGGATCGGGAAAGCAAGACAAGCTTTCATCATTCTCAAGTCTGTGTGGAGGAGATGAGCAGCCCTACTCAGCATGAAAATGGAAATAAGATCCGGATTTTCAAATCCAATGTGAAGTCAGTCAGTGCTACTCACTATACGAATCAGAGACTTGGCCAGCGCGTCATGAAGAGCATCTCAAACAAACTAAAGACCTTCATTAACAGTTGTCTTCGCTCGATACTCCGATCAAGATGAGATGGCCGGCCAGAAGAGATCAGCAACAGGGATCTCTGGAAATGAGCGAACCAACACAGCAGGAACTGATTGTGCAACAAATGGGCTGGAAGAAATGGAGCTGGATTGCATTGGTCATACTCTGAGGAAATCATCAAGTGAGTGACATCAATAGACAAGCTATTGCTCGATTGGAACCCGAAAGGGAAGCGGGCGGTGAGTTGGTCGTCAGCGTGAGAGTGACCTGTAAGAGGTCATGTGAAGAGGAAATGAAAGCCTCTGGGCAGACTTGAAACCAGGTCAAAATTCTAGCAGGAAACCGAACGGAATGGAGACGCGCGGCTGAAGCCCTTTGTTCCTCTAGGAATTAAAGGAAATAATAATAATGAAGGCTCAAAGTGATGGTTTCTTCTCTTCTTTCATAATACTCTTGTTTTCGCCTCACATTTCTGTTTATCATCCCCCTATCTTCTCTTGCTTTGTGTACTACAAGGAGCGAGGGAGTGTGGCAACTCGGACTGACGCACATCTATGCAAAGCAGTTCTACGTCGAAACCAGTGAGTCAGTCACCTTCACACAATTCGTACATCCATGTAGAAAGAAAAGAAAACTAATAAAAATTCATTTTCCGTTTGAATTACTTGCTTAAAAGTCAACTGAATTCAATCTTTTAGTAAAATTATTAAATGCGCCTCGATAGCACAGCGGTAGAATGCTCGCCAACCATGCCATATGTGGTTCAGTGTTCAATACCCGGGGCTGACGCACTCCGTTACCTCTCTAAGCCAGTAATGAGACTGGTAAAAAAAAGGGAAGGTTAGGCGTGGGGCTAGCTAGCCTCTACCTTGAAGGTACCCCATGTTCCACTGGGAACCCGTGGAACTAAGTGCGCACTGATGAAGAATCCCAAACTGGTGTGACGAAACAGCTGGCTGTCCAGTACTCCCAGTGGCGGGTTTTCCAATTGTTCTCTAACTAATGTCAGATCATGATGAAAATCCTGTAACCAATTAATCAAATCCTCTACAAACCAATACTTGAAAAATAAATAAATTTTATTCATGCCTGTTCTTCTTCTTCTTTCTCTTATTTTCTCTGTCATCAGGTTAATTATCCTCATGTAATGAATAAGAAGAAGATGAGAAGAAGAAATTTTAATTAATTTGGAGTTCTTACTGTGTTATCTATTCAGCCATCAATCAAATCAATCGTCAATTTAGATAACAATAAATAATAATTATTATTATACTGACATTGATCAATTTAATCTATTTCTTTGTCAGTTTGAATGGAAGGATATACACAGCAAGAAAGAAAGAGAACAAAAGAATATATATATATATATATATATATATATATATATATATATATATATATATATATATGTATATATGAGGCTTATAAACTCAAATATTGAAGGCTTACTTGAGTTCATAAGCCTCATATATTTATATTCTTGTGTTTTCTTTCTTTCTTTCTTGCTGTGTATATCCTTCCATTCAAACTGACAAAGAAATAGATTCAATTGATCAATGTCAGTGGTGGACTGAATGGATTATGCGTCAGACAGTGGGAAATGAGAAAACAGGAATATTCTGGACCGACCGACGCGAAAAATCTAGAAGACTTGGATTTCGCGCGTGGATGATTTATGTTTGATGTCACACACACACAAAATCGAAGACTTACAAGCAAAAACCGACAAACTGGTCGAAGAAGCAGTCGGCGAAGACAGGACTCCAGGTGAAAATGACCAACCACCACCACCAACAACAACAACATCCAGCGCCAATCACCATCAACGGGAGGGATTTGAAAGAGGAGGTCACTTCATTCACTTACTTATCTAGAGAGGGAGCATTGTCGCAACTACACGAAGTCGGAACGGACGAGCGACAAATGTCAAATCGACCGAGAATCGGGGGAGAGGGGCGAGAAACACATTCACTCATCAACCTGAAACAACCAATCTGGAAACCAATCATCGTCACTCAGCCAGAATCAACAACAAAATTCCGTCGGTCGGATTTTCAATACAAACAACGTCAAGTCAGTCAGTTCTTCTATACGGATCAGAAAGTTGGCGTGTTGGTGGTGGGGGTGTCACAAAGAATATTTCCACCAACAGCCTGTTGCAGACCTTTACTAACAATTGTCTTCGCTGGGTCTATACTGAAGATCAGATGGCCGGGAGGGGGCCGGAAAGAATCACCAACAAGCACCAAACTATGGGAACAAACAAAACAAAACAAGAACAAAAGAATCGCCAACCAACAGCAAATATGCAGGAGAAAGGCGATTAAGATGGATTGAACACTCGCTCGCTGAGGAGGCCGCCGCTGGGTGACATCGCGCGTCAGGCCATTGCTCGAGTGGAACCCGAAAGGGAAGCACGCGGCGAGTGGGACGTCAGTGCAAGGGCGACATGGATGAGGAGATGGTGTGAAGAGGAGTTGAAAGAGTATTAACTAACATGGATGCAGGTGAAAAGTACAGCAGAAGGAGGACAGAAGCAAGTGGAGATGGGCAGTTGAAGCCCTATGTTCTACTAGGAACCCAAGGGAGTGATAATAATAAATAATAATAATATGAACTCAGATATCAAAAAAATTAACGAATCTGCTTTTCTGCTACCTGAATATATTTCTACATTTAGACTGATAATTTTTTTCTTTAACAAAAAAGAACGTTTGTAAATTAGGTCAGGTAATTGAATGTAAACAAACAAAAATGGATAGTCACAGCATTTTGTTGGCGATAAACGTGCAGTTGACGCCGAGAAAAAGAAGAAGAATGCACATCAATCAAT